ATCACGTAGCAAGAGTAAGCTTCATAAACCAAAGGTAAACCGATTATCATTCTTGTTTTTGATGCCCTCCCTCATAGAGATGAAGATAAAATACAGAGAAACACAATACTGGAGAAACTACAATTAGCTAGCATTCACGGACTCCACCTCGGCTATTGTACTGCTGTGAACTTGAACAAGCCCTGAGCCTCTCTGTGCCTCAGTTTTCTCCATTTGTAAAATGAAGGTGATCTCCCCCTTTTACTTATAAATTTAAATAGTCCCTGGCTTCTGTATTTAGATACAAAGAAGAACTTTGCCATTGTTCTTTACACCCCCCTCCCAAAAAACCAATAAGTTGAATAGGTTGAGATTTTTTTTTTAATCACTACTATATCCCTAGGACATAGAACCATGTCTGGCACATAGTAGCTGCTCAACAAAAACTTGTTGAATAAATAAATGAGGAGATAAATACGTTTAGACACAATTTAGTAATGTTGTGATATAGTGCTTGGGAATAATTACAGTCTTGGCCCTCCAAAATTCCCTGTTCCTTATGCTAAGGTAAGATGTACACTGAAAAGGCAGATAGGGCCAATAAGACCTGGGCTCTGCGCCTCCTTTTCCTACATTGTGGCATGAGCTGTATACAATGGACACCTTCCAGTCCATCTATAGCCATGTAATTAATATTTTAGATGGGGCAAGCGTCCCATATAATGTAAGACATTTACTGTGCGGTAAGTGTCGGTACAAACCCCAGTCATTTATGCCAACTAAAAATTCCCCCCAAAGGCAAACATTTCTGAATGCCCCCAGGAGCAGTGCATGGCCCCTCATGGAGAACCACTGATCTGTCCTCTGACTGGTTTGGCTTATGGATGGAGATCACTGCATGTCCGCTCATCTTCACTGCAGGGATTTATAATTTAGGGATAAATTAGCCTTAGTATCAACTCCAGTCCTTGCTTGTTAGAATGACTAGCTGCATGAAAATCATGGTCTTGTGGAAAGGTCTGTCCTTTCTTCAATGTGAGGAGAGAAACTACTGGGAACTTGTTTCGCCCTCCCACTCTCATCTCCCAGAGAGACAATGACCAAATCCAGAGTGGTGATCTCACGGAGAAGTTATGGGGGAGGGAGTGACGGAGAATTGCCATAAATATCCATTTGATGTCTACTTTGAACCCTGAACAACCTTAGTTACAAAAACCTTGGTTGACGCAGCATTACTGGCCAAGCTTAAGTCCAAATTTTCCTAATGCTGAGGATTCTATGTTCACCTTCTTTAAGGTTTTAGTTCCAAGCCAAATGGACCCAACATTGCATCTTTTGCCATCCCAGTGGGACCTGCAATGTTAGGAGCTAATGCTTCCTCCCTAGTCCTAATGTTTTTTCCATGTGGAGGGAGCTTTGCTGGTGTAACATCCTGGCCAGCTCCATAGGGGAAGTGTGCAGTGGACCAGTTGTCCCTGTGAATGCCAGATAATTATATTTAATTCTGGGTAATTGGGCTTAGTTCGTTATCAGGGAGCCTACTTGCCACCGGCGTGGGCCACATATCCTCCAACATCTGCATTATCAGTAATTATAGTGGTGTTTTGGCCTCTTTGTATTTTACCCTTTTGTCTTATCTTTCACTTGGCTCAGAATTTGGGAAGCGAAGAGGGCTTCAAAACTCCAACACCAGATATGAAGCTTGGTTCTTCAGAGATGGCATCCATAAACACTCTAAGATTTACAACAGCTTTAGGGTAGTTTGTGCTAAAGAATTCTACATAGCCTTGGCATCATAGTAGTTAGGACACAAGTTCAGCTCCACATTAACCACTTAACAAGGTTAAAATCTGAGCTGGCATGGTGGCAATGCTCAATGATGTCTGCAGTGGCCCTGGCTCCTCTGTCTTTTTGCTGCATCATCCTCAGTGGATTACCCCCGTGTCCATGGTACAAAATAGCTTGCCACCAGGTTTACTGTCCCAGCAGCATGAAGGAGGAAGGAGAAGGGTAAAGAGTGGCTTCCTCCTTCCATTTGAGGGAACAACATGGAAGTTGTCCACATCACCTCTGCACACACCCCATTGAACAAAACTTAGTCATGTGGCCATACTAGCTGCAAGGGAGGCTGGGACATGTAGCTTTTATTCTGGGATACCAGAATAATGTAATATTCAGGATAAAATTAAATTATTAAATGATTATGGAAGAAGGAGAATGAATATTGAGAGGCACCTGGCTGTCTCTACCATGGAATCCTTGTCTTAAACTTCCAGATGGAGCCTTGAATTCCTCATCAAGCTAGAGAGTCCACTCTGCTTCCCAGAATCTAGGAGATGATGTTAATAACATTCCAGAGGTACTGAAGAGACTTTAGCTGCGATCTCCATTGCCCATCTTTGATTGGGTTCCCCAGGGCTCTTAAATTACTTTCTCTTTTTAGTATCCTTTCTCTGTGTGGTCTCATCCACTTTCATGATTTTAGCTTCCATCTGTAAGCTGATGGTCCACATTTGACCCTTCTTTCTTGCTGCATTTCTCTAACTTAGGTTCCCTTGTAGCTTAGTTCAAGATTTCTCAACAAAGGGTGGACTAGGATGAGGTAAGTGAGGAGGCTAGGGAGCAAGATTAAGGAGACACTCACCCTCAGGGGCATGTGAGTGGCTATCTCCACGGTCATAGTCCTAATTGCCATCCTCATTACCTCTCCCTCGGGCTACTGAAATAATCTCCTACCTCACTCTTGTTTTCAGATTTTGCCTAGTACACTATCTCCATGTTGCTGCCGAGGTGCTCTGGCTAAAACTCAGATTTGATCGTGTCTCTGCCAAGCTTTAAAAAAAATCTCCCCCCACCCCCTTCCCCTTTATAGCTGTTGTTGGCTTATGGAAACAAGTTCAAAGTCCTTGGCTGGGCATAAAAGGCCCTTCTCCATACCCTTCTCCACCACACACAGTCACACTGTTCTACTCCCTCTCACTAGTACTCATGTGCTTCCAGGTCATTCGCCTTGGTTCTTCTCGTTCCTTTTGCCAGGAGCACACTCGCCTCTTTCTCTGTCTGGGAAACTCCTGTACATCCTTTAGCCACTCTCTAAACGTCACTTCTACTGTGAAGCCTCTCCTGATCTTTCCAGGCAGAATTACTGTTTCCACAGACCTTTGTGCATATCGCTATTACAGCCCTTATGACATTGTGTTCTATTTATTTTTTTATATATGTTTCCTCCAGGAGACTTTGAGCTCTCCTGCGTCCCCTGTTCCTAGCATGGTGCTATGTAGGGGTGATCAATAAGTCTTACTGACTGAATGGATAGATAAATGAATAATTCGGGCTGAAAGAATCTCTAGAATGAACTCCCAGAAGACTGGCTGAATGGGTTTTTGTGTCTAAAAGTTCACTCTTGCCGGCATTGCAGCTGCCCTGACATACGTGTGACTCAGTAAATTTGGTTTGTAGAGAACCTTGATTTGAGTTCAGATCCAAGGGCTTGCTCTGCTCATTGGCTTCTGTGTCTTCCTTTTGTTTATGCTGGAGTGTCTTGTTAGTAGCATGCAGTTGCTAAAATCTTTTCTGAAACCCCAATGGTTCTTACCAAGTAGTACAAACCATTCTGCAGGGCTCATACTAAAGAAGAAAGATAAATTTTAAAGCCAGCTTCCAACACAGAAAAACAGACAATCCTGGCAAAGGTTTTGGAACCTGAATTGTTTACCAGCCTGCGTGGAGGAATCAGATATCTGGAGGTAACAGAAGAGATGATTCATGGCGTGACTCCAGAGAGACTACGGTGCCTGGACCCTCCGCTTGACCACGTGCACATGCGTAAGACACAGGAGCCATTAATCTGTCTTCACACCCCTTTCTCACCCAGAATAAAAATTGTTTTGCCTAGCAAAAGTGGTGGGCTCAGCCAAGGGGAGACACATTGGATTATGTTTCCTGAAGGATCTGTGTTGTTATAGTGAAAAGACAGCGACAACTTGCCAAGGATTTCAGGGGAGATCATAAGACCCCACTAGTCCCACCATTCTGCTCCTCTGAGTCATGGAAGCAGCATGACGAAACGTAATATGCGCTGGAGGGGCTCAGGTTACTTGCATGTGGTCATAGTAGGTTTTTTCCCCCTAACTGAGGAAGTCTGCAATTTTTACACTGTTGCAGAACAAATAGATTTGTGACTAATGTTATACAATTTATGTAGCTGATGTCACATCATTTTCACAGTTGGTTCACATTTATGACAGTTAAGAGGTTTTGTCCTATTCTGAGATTTACGAGGTGGGATGGAATTTGCCCACCCACACTCCCCGATGCCATGTTTATATTCCCAAGGACCATCTCCTTCACTTCACCCATTTTACTGATGAGGACGCTGAGACTTCCAACAGTTCAATGACTCATCCAAGGTCACAAAGCTGGCATGTAGGAAGTCCCGATCACAAGCACATTTATTTGGATGGGTCAGATTCTGCATGAAAAGTGATATGAAGCCTGATTCTCTTCTTTTTCAAAAGAAATGAAAACATCTCTGAAAAAAGGAAAAAATAGTTTTCTCTGTGAAAACTATTGCATAGTACCCATTTTGTTGCTATTGCATACTATCCATTTTGCATTGTAGCCACCCACCCGTCCCTCTATGCAATGTCTCTGCCATGGAGATAGACAGTAGGAGGGGAGAGTTGAGGTAAGCTCTGTTCATTGTCTGCAGACCAATGGTAACCCCTTACATCTATTTCTCCAAGTGTCAGTCCACTGGATTTTACTCAGTGGGCTGGATCTCATCCTACGGAAGAGCAGGAAGTTTGCAATTTATCATCTGAAAAATAAAACGATTAAAAAACCCTGGCAAATAATCTCAAATTCTGACAGTAATAACAGGAATATACAGCCCAGCCCACTTCTCCCCAATCACCATGAGTTCTTTCCTCTCCTTTTACAGCATGGCCGCCTCAAAAGATCAAATCCCAAGGTGTCTTAAGTCACGTTCTCTGGAAGTAAAACTTGGGATCCTAATTCTTGAGCAACAGATTTATTGAGGGACTTGTTCTCAGATGAAACCTCTGAGGGAGAAGGAAGCAGTACAGGGCAGGAAAGAGGCGAGGCAAAGATGTGGGTTCCGTTGTCGTCTTCCCTCAGCCTGATCCCACGGGAGGCTCTGGAGTGTGAATGGTTGTTCCATTTTGAGGAGAGGGGGCTGGGTGTGAGTATGAAGGTATTAGTCAGTCTTTGCTGTCAGCCTGCCCGGGAGGGGTAGTGCAGAACCCCCCAGGATCCCTGAGCTCCGCCGTCCAGCTGGCCATCGGCAAATCTCTGGAGCCGGGAAGGGTGCAGCTGTGAGCTGTTAGCAGCCAATTTGTACAGCAGTTGGGGGATGGGTGCGCCAGTAAGAGATCTGGCAGGGCACCAAGAGCATATACTAAACATTATTGTATGTCAATGTCCCAGAAAAGAAAAAAAATTATAACTGCCCATAATAACACAAAACAAGAAATCAGCTTTGTTCATGATAAAGCATAATTCACAGTTCTGTTTATTCTGTGATGGCATAAAAGTCACAGACAAGACACTAAAAACAAAGAAAAACTGTAAACACCACTGATGGAGGGATCGTCAGAACCATTCTGATTGGGAAAATACTTCGGCGCCTCGTAGAATGGTGACATCTGGGTGAAATGGAAGATTTGTTGTGGAATGCCCTCAATTCCAGGATTCCCTTGGCTTCCTCTTCTCTGTGATTCCTTTCTGCACTGAGCACAATGTCCCCACTTTTGACTCAAAAGCTGGACAAGGGCGATTTGGGACGTAGGGCCTGAGCAAAGAAAGCAATTATTTTGGAACTAATTATTAATTGGAAGAATTTGCTCAAAGCCATCTTGCCTCAACAAAATGATACCCAAGGTGGCTTTGGCTCCTTGTAAAAATAGGAAATAAAGGACAAACTTCTGCCACCTTGTCCCCAAAGATGAAAGTCACCTAAGATTGAGCATCTATGATGTGTCAAGAACTGTACTAGTCATGTTGTAGATGTGGACTCATTTAATCTTCAAATTCTATTTAAAGATGAAAATTGTAGAGATGAGCAATATTTACTGAAGACAATGGGGCCAAAGAACATCAATACACACCAGTGCTCAGGTCAGGCAACAGTTTTATAGTGTTCTTCTCACCCTGCTTCCTTTTTAAAACATATGGTGAATTAAAAAAAACTATAGTGTAGGGAATATTAATATTCACTCCACAGTTCATATGATGATTATAATGGGTAACATTACTAATCTGATAAAGTTTTGACTGTGTTACTTTTATCTCCTGCTACCTATATGTGCCAAAAATATAGCTTATTTTTTCTCTATTACTAAAAAAAAACTTTCTCGTGAGCCCCCATTCCTGCTGATGATAGGGGATAAGATAGGGATGAGGAAGATGAAACCTCACCAATTAAAGGTGACTTGATACCTTCTGGTGTAAGGCCATCATTTTCAGGTCAGTGTTCAGCCAATATCAGTACTACCCGTCCCTGGGGTTGTTTCCCCTCTCAAGGGCTTTCTATCTTACAGTCTCTCCCAGTCTACACATGACACTGGGGCCTGGACGTCAATGACACTGTTTTAGAAAAAGGTGAGGGCTTCTTCAATAATGAGGCATCCTCAAAATTCCAAACAAAATTCAATTATGTTTTTCTTGTCTATTCAGTTGATTAAAAAAGAAATGTTCCCTAGGAGTGTGGGAAAGCAAATGGAGGGCCTCATAATTTAGTTAGTGTGGCTTTTCTTTGACCCAATTCTCTTACATGTTGGATGAATTTCTTTTGCAAATTGAATAATTTTCACAAGTCAATTACATACATTCCCTCAGCCCATTTGAGCGTAATGAAATAGCTTAATAGAATAAAACAATAACCCCCAAGATGAAGATGTTGGCTATTATTAAGTATAACAATAGGAATTAATTATGACAGCAGAAGGGGTAATTGATGACTTGGAAAATGGATTCTAAAGCTCTTTTCTATTGTGATTTCGGAGACATTTCAAGAGCTATGTGACTCTCTGAATGCATTTGAACAGGATTATTAATAACACTTTTTTCTTAATTCCTTACATTTGGTTAGTCCTTTACAAAACACTGTTGCGTACAGGATCTTGTTTTTAATTTAACCAACACTTGGATAGAGCTTGCTGCGTACCAAGCCCCGTTGTGAGCACTTCACACACTGGCTCGATTCCCGACGCCAACTCCACTCTGTGGCTCTAGTTGCTCTTTTACAAATGAGGAAACTGAGGCTCAGAGAAAGTGGGGAACTCACTCCAGGTCCCCCAACGGGAAGGGGGCAGAGAGAGGATTTGAATCCAGTCAGTTTCCTGAGTCCGTGCTCTTAACCATGACACTATTCTACCTGCCTGTCAGTGTTACAGCTACTCACACAGTGGGAATGTGTGCTTCCATTTTCCTGAGGATTAAACATCCCCCAAAACAGAAATTATTTGCCAAAAGTGTAGAGCTAGTTAGTAAGTGCCAGAGCTCGAATTCAAACTCTTGCCTCTTACTCCCAAATCAGTACACTTCCTGACATGCCTTTATGAAGCAAATTTCTTTTACTCAAAGTGGTGCATAATATTTCTAGAATGTTGGAGCCCTGAGTAAAAAAATATTATATTTCCTTTTGAGAAAAAGTTGGGCAGAAATTGTGAGGGCCGATGGAAACATGCAGTTCTTTTCAAGCAGAAACATTTTTAATGTAGGCACGTAGACTCAGGGTGCTTGAACTACAGGGGATCACATTGCCTCCTAGTAATTCTTATATTTACTGTCCCTGGGAATTTGTGATTAACGCAGGTTCTCAGGCTCCAACCCAGGCATTCTCATTCAGTAGATCCGAGGTCAGGCTCAGGAATCTGAATTTCAACAGACATGCCTGGGTGATTAATGTTTACTTGTGAAATGAGAGACCCAGGCACAGAGGAGTGAACTGACCTGCTCAGATTACCAAGACGCTAGGAAGATCAAGACTCTAAGGTCAGCATGCACTAAATGTACTTTGGTTTGTTCGTAAGATGACATGTTTTATTTATGAAATTCAAAGATTAATTTATTCTTATAAGAATCACAAACTAACGTAATTTATTCTTAAGTGAGTTAAAATTTTCTCATAAATGGCACTAAGAGCCACTGAATTTTAAGGAACTAAACATTACTGAGATTTGGCAACTTAATGAATGTAAGTGGCAGCATTTACTTTCCTCCAGAACACGTAATTTGATTAATTTTATCAACACTAACGCATGAAATCAAATATATGTGACATTACTTAAAGAGATGAAATGGCTATCTAGAGATCTAGAGAGAGATAGAATATAGCCAAATCAATGGCATTAGCCCATTTAAGAAAGACTATATCAACAGTAGGAAGAGGTCTGCATGGAATATAAAAAAATGGGAATTGGAGAGCCAGAAAGCCTGGAACTATCCAGAACTGAGTGGCGAACAGGAAAACCTGACTGCTTCATTCAAGGGTGTGCTGTTGACTCCTTCTGGTGTGTCTGCTCTGCCCACAGGCCCATTCTCTGAGCATTCCCCACCCACAATGATTGGTGGCAGAGCCCTATATGTAGTATACCACCCTGCACCCCAGGCCACAGTTGATTGGAGGGAGCAGGCACCTGGCCAGAACTGGGGCAGTCAGATTCCCCATTACAGAAAATTATAATTGGCCTTCCCAGGATCTCATTAGTCTCTTCTAGCTGCTTCGTATATAAACTCAGGAGTTTCTGAATCCCAAGCAGAGAAGGAGGTGCCTTGAAGAGAAGGCTCAGAGAACATGAGATGTGTCCTCTGCTTTGGGGAGCCTCAGACGCTGGTTTCTGAATTACCCTTGAGAAATCTAAAGTGGCTGAAGAGCTGTGGAGCAGCAGAATTATGGGGTGTGTGTTGGAAAGTCACAGCCCCCCTGAATTCTTGGGGGAAAAGGATGCATGAGAATTTCCCAGGCCAGATTTGGACTGTGTACAAGCAAGAGCCAGCTTGGAGTCATCTTATATTCAGTCCAAAAGGGCTGCCTTGAGGTGTGAAGGGAAAGGAACTGCAAAGAGGTGGCTGGGCGCTGCGCTGGTCTGCTAGGACTGCCGTAACAAAGTACTACTCACTGCATGGCTTAAAGCAACAGAAGGTGGTGGTTCTGGAAGGCAGAAGTCTGAAATCAAGGTTGGCAGGATCAGGCTCCCTCTGAAGCCTCTGGGGAAGCGTCCTTCTTTGCCTCTTCCAGTTTCTGGTGGCTGCGGGCAGCATAATCTGACCTCTGCCTCCCTCTTCACGTGGTCGTTCTCCTTGCGTATCTGTGTCCAAATTTCCCTCTTCTTATAAGGACGTGAGCTATATTGGATTAAGGGCCCACCAAACTCCAGTATGACCTCATCTTGACTTACCTGATTACATCTGCAATGACCTTGTTTCCAAATAAGGTCACTTCTGAGGTTTAGGATTTCGATTTCTCTTTTTAGGGGGGCACAGTTCAACCCATAACAGATACCTAGGTGTCGAGGAGGGACCCTCAAGCAACAGGCAGAATAGAGACAGGTGTATGTATCTTTTGTTGAGGGTACTGAAGGAGGATGAAGCGCCCCCTTGTTCCCCTCCTCCACTGCCCGTGATGGCAGGATGCTGTTAGCACCACCAATAAAAACAACAAAAAGGTGCAGGCCAGCGCTGCAGTGCCATCTCAGGAAGAGTATGCCCGCTTCCCTTACCTCTCCACCCTCTCCCTGCTCCGACCCCAAAGGATCAAACTTTTTGCTAGAAGGAGAGCAACTCAGGGAGAGGAATCAGAGAAAAAATTGACCCAACCTGCCCTTGACTTCAGACTTCATGCCTATATGTGGGCTGAAACTCAGGGAGGAAAGACGTCTTAGAGTGTCAGTTATCAGGTGGGACTGGACATCTTAATTACCGAATTGAGACTGTGCTTTTCCACTTGAACTCTCTGTAGGGCTTTATTCATTACTTAGGAATTACCAGAGAAGTTGTTTGGCCTCTCTGAGTCTTTATCCAGGGGCGAGGGAAGGACTAGACAAACCCGTGGAATTCACACTTAAAGCGATAAAGACAGAAATAAAGGTTCTCGATTCTTACAACCCATGAGCCATGCTTGCTTAGCATAATAGTTCCTCATGGTTCTCACTTAAACTAGTAATTTTAAACTCTGGCTTTTCAGTCTTCTATGAGTTTGGTTAATGTTCTTCTGTACCCCATCAACTGACCTATAATTGACATATTGCCAAAACTCTGTTTTTATTTTGCTTTGTCTATTTTTGGTCTGCAAAACTAAGGAGCAGTCTTGATAAATAGTGACTCATCAAAGGTAACAGGGTCTTTATTTAGGTGACCTGTCAATAGGTCTAGCCCTTCTATCTTTCTGTTTACCTCGTCAAGTCCCAACACTAAGTAGGTAAACATTCATTCATTCAATCATTCCTCAAACTTTTATTGAGTACTTACTTTGTGCTATGCACTGTTTCAGCCTTCTGAGATATGGTGGACAGCAAAAGAGACATTACCCCTGGCCTCATGGATGGAACATTCCAGTGGAGGAAGAAACTGACAAATAAATAAATATAGCTAGATAGAGAATATATCAAGTGGTAATACAGGAGCAATGTACACCAAAACAAAAAAATTATGATTTTGGACTCCACGTCTTCTATCAAGTGGAACAGAACAGAATATATTATGTGAAAAGAAATTGGAAACACCCAAAGACAAAAAACCAAAAAATACCCAACTTATCAAATGCCATCTTTTCCACATAGAATCGTATGTTCTCATTTTCAGAGCAATCATTTTTAGAAAGAAACGCTTGCTTATTAACATCTTCCCAGATTTCTGAAACCCAACCGTACACTGAGATTAAGAACAATTCTGACTCTCGTGCTTTGATTAATATCTTATTCTGTCTCTGATTTCTCATTTTTACTCTGGTTTCAACAGTAGTGTATGTTAGTTATAGAGAACTCGAAAAACACAGAAAAGTAAAAGAGGAAAATAAAAATCATCTCTAATTCCATCTTACTTTATTTCTTGATTTGTTGTATTTCCAAATGCTTATTTTCCTTCTGGGAGAGCTAAAGAAGAAAGAAAATTAGCAGTGGCTGTGGTTACGCAGAACTTTCGTTGTTAGACGGCAGGAGATAGGACACTAGAGCATTCTGGATTGTGTCTGGATTTGGCTGTCTTACCTTGTGCTCTTTGTGACAGTACACTACCTGTTCTGTTTTTTGTGCTTTGAATTGTCACACCCTAAAAGAATTGGAAAGATCACAGAATGTACTGTTTTCCATCCCGAAACAACAGTGCAAATCATTAAAGATCTAAATTATCCCCCATGGACTTCAAGAAGAGAGGGGGATGGGAAGGAGGGCGTCAAACCATAGTTACTACTGTTCAGGACAGAGAGGACTCGAGGAAGCTGGCGATTGGGAAATACAATTTACGGATTAGGAATCTGAGGCTGAGGCCTGAAAGGCTGGCTCAAAGCCACGGGCCAGCCACAACCGGAAGATGGAAAGACTGCTGTTTAAGCTTCTGATGGCTAATGAAGCACATCATGATAGTCGCTAACTTCTAACTTGAGCACTTCTTTATTTAAACTTTTTTCCCTTAGCAACAGTAACTTTTCCCAGTTCATCTTGTAAGACTTCGGATGACCAAAGTCAAGTCTGATTCATGCAATGGCTTCTAGAAAGTTTCCTGTAGACTTGCTATTCTATAGTTTTTAAATATTTGGGGGCAGTAGAACTTGTTATCAATATATGCTGAACATTTATCCTGAACTTGGAAAATGATTTCCTGTCCACGTTTTCTTTCTCAGTACTCACACTCACATATCCACACGCTCACAAACACAGAAACCCACACACGTTCCTTTTAGCTCTCCCTTTTGTTTCCTTTTTCCTAGAAAAAAATTTTTTAAAAGTGAAAACATATCTTGGTGCTTTGGGATCCATTTTCCATTTGAAGTAGCTCAGCAAACAGCTGGCTACACCTGATGGGCCCTGGAACACTCTCTTTTATGAAATTTCAGATAAAAAAAGGACTTGCTGCCAAGAAAGTGGCAAAGGCCCGGGTGGATTTTAGAAACCTGAAGACAGAACTGAGAATCTGGTATTAAAATGAGATAGCCAAGACACAAAGCAATCAAAAGATGTGAAGACTTAAGATAACAATGGAACATATAGGAATTGGACAAAAAGTGATTTTTAAAGGAAGCACCATTCTCATTGTGTTGAATTGGCCTTCTATAACCACAGCTGCTCTTAATAGGTGTGAAATAAAATGTTTTTTTTAAAGAGCTCTTGATATTCCTTATCTTCCTCAGCAGTTTAATGAAAATTGAAAAGACTACACAGACTTACACGTGAGGTCAGCTGTATCTTCCCCTTCTCTCTTCTCCGCTCCATTCTTGGCCAGTCCAGGACATTATTAGGATATTTCATTTGATTTTCTTTCTTCCCAGGCAATGCATTATGTACCTATCAAATGATGTTTGGTAATCAATTCTTGATCTCTCCTGGAGGTCAGTCAATGACACCATCTAAATTGTCATCTCATTTCTTTCTTTAAAGAGAATCCATCTATTTTCTTTGAGCGTATAGAGGTTTCAGACACAGGTAAGATACTAAACCATTCATGAACAAGATGACATTTTTTCTCATCAAGACTGTCAGACTTCGCTTTTATGGAAGATGGACTTAGTTATTAAAGGAGTCTCTTTCATTTAACGTTCCAGTTAATATGCTATTAACTCAACTCATCTCATCTCTTCATTGCGAAGTCTCTCCATCTCTTAGTTACTTTTATTTTGGGATGGAGGGTGTGAATGAAGGAGGAAGGATGCTGGGGATTCAGATATGGAGAAACAGAGACTTAAAGTCAGAATCCTGAGGTTCAAATCAGGGAAAATTGCAAATTGCCGTATATTTATGATACACACGATAGGATGTACATGTGTCGGGGGTACTCCTTGGCAGATTCATAGGATGGATGTAATAGCCTAAAAGTTTACAGGATAAAAGTAAAAGAACAGTGGAAAAATCTTGAAATTGTGGCTCAGAGATTGAAGGGATCATTGAAAAGTTAAAGGCTTGAAATGCTAACATACCTACTGTTTGTGTTCCCGCTGAGAGTGTCTTTTCTCTTGTGCAAGGTCCATTTACTGAGAGCACACCGGTTATGTAAAGCTTTATTTCTCCTACAGATCCTGAATCTCTCAGAGACAGATTCAAGTGTTACTTTTGCAAAAACTCCAACAGCCGTTGCAACTTTCTGAATGCTTCTGCTTCCAATCAGCTAGGGGCCATTTTTAGCTTTTCAAATTAATAATTTGAAAAAGATGCGATGCCTATTTGTAACGACTTCATCTTGTCTGCAGAAATGATTCAAAACAGCCGTTGCGACACACGAGCTGGTCTCATTAAGTAAGACTTTGATGCAAGAGCACAGGTATTGGTGTCAGGGCTGCTGTTTGGTTGCCGCTTCACTGTGGAAATGATGGCAGAGCAGAAGGAGTGAGAGCATTAACACTGATCGTTATTCTGCTGGGGGTTTAGCGAATCCACTCGATTTTCCCTTTGTTTTCCATTTGGAGCAATACTGCACTTAAGCAAAATTTCTTAGGGGTTGCAAGAAAAGTAATTGCATTTTTTTTTAAGTAGGGAATTTGCTTTAAAGAACATTCTAAGATATTTATGAAGATCTTTGCAGAAACTTTTATTTTACTCTATTGTCAGTTCCATCTCTTTGTTAAAATATCCTGATGAATGGTTTTAATGCGCAAATAACTAAAAGGAAACAAAACAACAACGCTTCCACAAAATAAACCAAATCTCGTAAATTATCTGTGAAGAAATACATTTCTGCGGTGAACTTTGTTTTACCTCTTTAAATGTGGAACAATGTCTCTTAACCAGGTCACTGTATTAGATGCTAGCCAATAATTAAACAATCTGAGAAAATGTGCAAGGCAAGGTATCTTCACAAGGCTTATGGGAAGAAGATCTGAAGGTCTAGCTAAGACACATCAAATCTAGGAGGAATTCCCAGTTTTCCATGCACATTTCAAAACTGCTAGAAGCTCCCGATTTCTAGTGTCCTGAGTTATAACTGAATCCACAGGCATGACCCTGGTCCTATTGACGCAGACCATCACTGGAAAAAGCTATTGTTTTCACTTTGACTCCATGTAGCCTACATCCTACCACTGTGTATCTTAGACCTGACCTTTGAACAGTAAAATGCAAAGGCAGCAACAACAGACCTTGAGTGGGACAGAAAAGCCAGTATCAAAAAGAAGGGGGGCTCAAGAAACATTTCCATGACAATAGAAACTGTCTCATAAAATGTTGAGCAATGATTTAAGAAAATTTTTTTTATGATAAAATATACATAACAAGATTTACGACTTTAACCGTTTTAGAAGTGTAGAGTTCAGTGGCATTCAGTGCATGCACGTTGTTGTAACCACCACCACTATCTATCCCAGAACTTTTCATCTCCCCCAACTGAAACTCCATACCCGTTAAACACCACCTCCCCAGTGCCATCTGCCCCTTGCAAACACCCTTCTACTTTCTGTTCCTATGACACTCGTCTCAACAGTGCTGCCAACTCAAGCATTCCTTGACTTCAGGAACTTTTTGTTGTTTATTTTTAAAACCCATCAGAGAAAATGCACAGCAGCTGGGGAAGGCAAAAATCTCCAGGGATCCATTTGAAAGAATGATTATGCCAATAATTAAGCTTCGAAAGGAGTTATCACCCCAAACGAGGCAGGCTATCTCCCAGGCCGTGCTAAACTTAAAGCAACGTTTCTGCTTTGAAATGGCCGGTGATAGAGAGCATATTTATGCTGCAAATGGGAGTGGAATTCAATCACCTGGGCCCAGAAAGCCAGCGCATGGAAATAGATGTCTCTCAGATCCGGCGCGCACTTATTATTGAGGGAGGGAGTGTTTGTTCTGGAGTCATTGTGATTAAAGTACCACAGGGCAATTGGCTCATTTGTCTCGGTTTATCTAATTACCAGACGAAGGTGAAGATTTGGAATGGTTGAAACCATGCAAATGAAGCCTACATGGGCCTTGAACTGGATGTGGTCCCAGTTCCGTGAATGAAAGGCAGTTGTTTTCTGATTCCGTCCTCTCCATTCCTCCCCAATGCCCCGACCCCCATGAAGAAAACAAAATCAATTCAAGTTGAAAAATAATTTACATGCACAAAGTAGAGAGTAGAAAAACAAGATTAACAGCCAATCTGGAAAGTTCTGACCCTAAGAAAAATTTATTCCCTTAGTGGCAGAGAAGGGCCATTTTACCCGAATTATCTCAATAATTACTTCAACTCACCATTTCCCTTTGCCTGTGTGGACACAACCTAAAGTTAAATTATGCCTCTGGTTCCAGGGTTGTCATTCTGGAAAGTCTTGCTTATAGTATATATATTTGAAATGTTTAACAAGTGTGCAGAGTTTACACAAGGAGAAGAAATAAGCACATAGGGACGTGAATTTCCTGCAAGGAAAAAAACCCCAACCCTAAGAACAATTAGTCTATCAGTCCCACTTAAACACGCAGTAAACCATTTGTGGATGCTCTTCATGGGGACTTTTCACCGACTCAGAGGGCGTGAGTTCCCAAGTGCATGCAGCTAAAGACAGGGCATCAATTTCTGTTCCCTTGTGCCGTGCTGTGAACCTTCTATCAGGGTCCTAGGGACATCTCTTTTAGGAAGTGAGAACAGCTGAAGATATGATTTCCTTTTACAGACGGATATTGCTGAACACTCAGGGGCCATAAAAGAAAAAAAAATACGTCATAAAAATGAAAGACTTTGGGAGGGGGAATTCCAAGATGGCGCCGTGAGTAGTCCTCTTTGTCTCTCGCCCTTCGAGTCTACAATTATTTGGACACTTATCGCTTGACAAAGGATATCCAGACAGCATCTCAGGACGTCTGAGACACCCACGCGACTATACATCGGAAGGCGGACGGACTTTCCTCCGGGAGGATGTGGAAATAGGTGAAAACTCTCCGACCCCGACGGGCAGCCTAGTACCCGCAAGCGGCTTTCTTCCAACGGACGCCCCCAGAGGATCCACACACATCTAGGGCAGGAGCGAGAACACAACAGAGGAGCGACGGTGGAAACAGGTGACCAGAACCCTACTTAAACCCCCCGCAATTACTCCTAAACGCAGAGGGAAACTTTGGAGTTGCACACCTGAGCCCGCGGGGAGAGTCTCTCCCCGCCATTGGCGGGGAGACCCGGCCTGGTGCTCGGGGCGCCCGGAGGGTCCCAGAGAGACGCCCGCCCCGGGGGACTAGGGATTGCCGGAGATCTCGGAGAGGACCGGGGCGGGGGAACTTTCAAAGGCGGGTCCGGCGACCCGGTGGGGAAGCGCCGGAGCTCCGCCAGGCAGCAGACAAAACTCTCTGTCTGCCGGTAGCAGAGGGGCCACGCTGAGCACTCAGGGCTCCCGGCAGAGGCCCGGAGAGAAGCCCAGAGGGCGGGGCGACCCCCAGCTGCCGTTGCCCGCCCCGTGGGACTAGGGATTGCCGGAGATCTCGGAGAGGACCGGGGCGGGGGAACTTTCAAAGGCCGGATCGGCGACCCGGAGGGGAAGTGCCGGAGCTCCCCCAGGCAGCAGACAAAACTCTCTGTCTCCCGGTAGCAGAGGGGCCACGCTGAGCACTCAGGGCTCCCGGCAGAGGCCCGGAGAGAAGCCCAGAGGGCGGGGCGACCCCCAGCTGCCGTTGCCCGCCCCGTGGGACTAGGGATTGCCGGAGATCTCGGAGAGGACCGGGGCGGGGGAACTTTCAAAGGCGGGTCCGGCGACCCGGAGGGGAAGCGCCGGAGCTCCGCCAGGCAGCAGACAAAACTCTCTGTCTGCCGGTAGCAGAGGGGCCACGCCCAGCATTCAGGGCTCCCGGCAGAGGCTCGGACAGAAGCCCAGAGGGCGGGGCGTCCCCCAGCTGCCGTTGCCCGCCCCGTGGGGCTAGGGATTGCCGGAGATCTCGGAGAGGACCGGGGCGGGGGAGAGTTCCAGAGACCCAGCTTAGTAGCCTAGGGGGAAACCCTACAGGCTCACAGAAGCCTTAGGGAAAGCCTCTGCACAGCATCAGTAGAAGGCACCCAGCCGCCAGCCACAAGGCTGGAAGACCCCAGGGCAAAAGCAGCATAGCTAGGTGTACTAACCACAGACTGTAGAAGATGCCAATAGCTCTCCTGCGACCCATAGAGGACAAGTGAGATTTGGTGGGTGCCGACAGCAACCGAGCGACAAATAAAAGTGATCCCACCCCTGGCCGCTGGAAAAGCCCATAACACCGTTGCAGACCCCAAGGAGAGAGCGCATCTAGGTGGGTAACAACAGTAGGCACCTGCAGCCTGAAGCCCCCCGTGACGGCCCCCACAGCAGAGGAGGGAATCCAAAGGGCCACTGTGGCTACGAAGAGGGGCCCAGGCCCAGTTAGCAACTACGGACAGGGTTCCTGGTTGGTGAAGTATAAACAGCTGCTCCCCCCACCGCAGCAGCTGAAACAAGTGAAAGGAGCAACTAAACTCTATCTCCATGCGGAGGCACAAATCAACATCATCAAGCAATATGAAAAAATACATTAAATCTCCAGAACAGAAAGAAAGTAACAAATACACAGAAATCAATCCCAAAGAAAATGAGATATATAACCTAAATGATGATGACTTCAAAACAGCCATCATTAAAATACTCACTGAGTTAAGAGAGAATTCTGACCGACAACTCAACGAGTTCAGGAGCTATGTCACAAAAGAGTTTGATACGATAAAGAAGAACCAAACAGAAATACTGGAAATGAAGAACACAATAGAGGAGATTAAGAAAAATCTAGATGCTCTGAACAGTAGGGCCGATAATATGGAGGAAAGAATTAGCAATTTGGAAGATGGCAATATAGAATTGTTGCAGGCAGAGGAGGAGAGAGAAGCAAGACTTAAAAGAAATGAAGAAACTCTCCGAGAATTATCAGACACAATTAGGAGATGCAACGTAAGGATTATAGGTATACCAGAGGGAGAAGAGAAGGAGAAAGGGGCAGAAAACCTATTCAAAGAAATAATGGCTGAGAACTTCCCAAATCTGGTGAGGGAGATGGATCTTCAGGTGACAGAAGCCAATAGATCTCCAAACTTTATCAATGCAAGAAGACCAACTCCACGGCATATAGTAGTGAAGCTAGCAAAAGTCAATGACAAGGAGAAAATATTAAGGACAGCCAGGCAAAAGAAACTAACCTACAAAGGAACCCCCATCAGGCTATCAGCAGATTTCTCAGCAGAAACTTTACAGGCTAGAAGAGAGTGGAATGATATATTCAAAAATCTGAAGGACAAAAACCTACAGCCGAGAATTCTCTACCCAGCGAAAATATCCTTCAAATACGATGGAGAAATAAAAACTTTCCCAGATAAACAAAAATTAAGGGAGTTCATTGCCACAAAACC